CCCCAAAACCCCAAAACCCCAAAACCCCAAAACCCCTAAGCTCTGAATTGGGATTGAATTAGAGAATTATTCTTTCTTTTCTTCTGGGCAATCATCAGTCATCTCTCCTCCTTCATAGGTCTCGTTATTATGGATTTTCTTTGGAATATTCCATGCGTTGTGAGTGGTAAGGAGGTCAGTCTCCTTAAGTCTTGCATATAAGTCACCCATATTGGCTAAATCTTGCTTTGAGAAATTTAGAGCGCAATCTTTTTCATGGGTTTCATCATGGATTCCCTTCCAAGTGTTGATTAAATCGTTTCTTAATTGGACCAATTGCTGGGCTCTGAGGGTTAGAAAATATTCTTACATTTTTTGAATTTTCCTAGTGAGTTTTAAGTAGTCAGCTGTCTCTTCTCCCATAATGTTGACCATTTCATCTGAGAATTTATCTAGATTTTAAAGAGAAGCAATACATTCATTGAATATTTCTCTTGCAGCATTATAAGAATTATCTCCTTTTCTATATCAAATAAGAATTTAGGAGAATTTTAAATTTACTTTCTTATAAACTTGATGTTTCTCTTTCTTCTTTGCTTTTGTACAAACTCTTTTACCGTCATTCCTTTGAAACAGCAATGAATAACTTTCGTATCGAAAGCAACAATATTATCAAGAATTTCTATATTATAAAAACTGTCATCAATATTAAAAAAAATCAGGTAATAAAATTCAATTAAAGGATATTAGAAAAGAAAGGATATCCAAACAGCAGCATTTCGAAACCTTATAACCTGACTACCCAAAATTTTACTCTCACCACCTCAAAATCTACCCATGCCTACCTTTAAATTGCTTCTTTACCAACTCAATCCTAGCTGGGCTACAAAATCACCCCCAAAAATTACCTAAACTCTCCAATATTCTCATAAGCTTGCTGAATCATTGTATGTCTTAAATTATCAGGCTCATTCTTAACCTTCTTAAAAATATTATTATACCTAAAAATTAAAAAATTCACTCAGCCTAATCATATAACCCATAGACCATCCACTAATCCCTCCAAATCCCTTCTTAAACATTCCCACCACTTAAAAAATCAAATACATATAATCTTCGTTTTCTTTCAGCTTTGAATCGAAGGAGATCTTGCCGAGCCCTCCTTGCTAAATTAGGAAGGGTTAGGATTTTGGGGGTGAGGGGGAGGAAGGGAATTAAGGTTGGAGAGGGAGTACTTTGATGATTTGTTGGAGTCTTTCGTTGTCGGATTTTAGGTCTTGGTTTTCACTTTCGAGTAGTTTTACTCGTTGTTCGAGGGATTTTAGGAATTCTTTCTTTCTTTTTCTGTAAGCTTTTGATCTGTCTTTGTTGCAGGTGGGTTGGGATGTAGTTTTGAGTTCTTTGGTAGCGGGGTCTTTATTTTCTTCGATTACAGCCTTTGTGCTCATTTTTGATAAATCAATATTCAATATTACGAAAAATTTTAGGGGTTTTGGGGTTTTGGGGTTTTGGGG